CTGCTATTCAGGACAAAAGCAATTCACACCAGGTTTTGTCATCAATAAGAAAATAACTGTTTACTGTGAACGAATTTATTCTTATTAAATGGCAAAAAAAAGCATTACTGATTTGCTACTATGTGACTTAAACTGTACCCCTTTAAAACCTGAAGTCCTGTTTCATTCATGAATAAGACAGACAAAAGCAGATAGTTTGACATAAATATTACGGGTGGAAAAACATAGAGAGAAAACACAAATTCCAATGATCAAAGTCCAGAACACAAGAGGTGGGATGGGTTAATTCTCACAGCTTTTGGTTTTTGTTTTAATGATGATGATTCATTGTGCTGTCTGATTGATCTTTGATTCAGTAGCAGTTGGATGGACTTGGTCTTTTCGAATTGGCACTCTTTCTGCTGAGTCTCTGGGTATTTTGTTTTTTCCACTCAGAGAGAGAGAGAGAGAGAGAGAAGAGCTGTTTCTCATTTGAAGTCTACAGGATGTCTCTGGGTGCAATGTACTTACAGGTCAGTGAAACTGCAACTTGAAAAGCAAATCCAAAAGTTTGTTGCTAAGCAGTTTTCCCTAAACTCAAAGATTCCTGGCGCCACTTGGTCTCACTCAGTATCTGCCTCACTGTTCCGGAATGTAATATGGTCTTGTGTAGTTGAGGTGTATACCTTAAGTGACTTGGAGACAATAAGGACTGCAGATGCTGGAAGCCAGAGTCTATGGGTGTGAGGCTGGAAAAGCACAGCATGTGTGGAGCAGGTAAGTCAATGTTTCAGGCTGAAACCCTTTGTCAGGACTGACGAAGGGTTTTGGCCCAAAATGTTGGCTTACCTGCTCCTCAGATGCTGCCTGACCTGCTGTGCTTTTCTAGCCTTATATTGATAGACTCTGTACACCTTAAGTCCCCACTTGACTTTCAAGTAGTAGAAATTCTACCAGTACTATTCCTAAATATAGCAATGTCCAACTTCCATTTTCCAATGTACAGTCTAAATGTTCCCTCGCAGTATTTTGAGCCTCCTCTCCCCCCATTGAGTTTCCTGAGTATTTGGCAACTGGAAATGAAGGTGGAACATTGTAAACCTGGGGTCTGTGCAGAGAAATGCAATTAGGCTGATTCTTAGGGTGAAATCTTTCCCTCCCAGAAGTAATAGGGATGTTGGTGGAAGGGGTTAGATAATCTAGTGGCATGGCATCAAGGAAATACCCAGCTCATTCCTGCCTTCGGGATAAGAAGGTTCAAACTTCACCTTCCTGCCTTGCTCCCAATTGAGGTCTTTATGTTGTCCATTAGTGGCCAGTTAAGAGACTGTTTATGCCACTTTCACAATTAGTTTTGTTCCCAGCAAGTAAGACCAGAGACAGCCTTTCTGATTGGGCAAGTGGAGTGTGCTGCATGGATAGGGCATTAATCTGTCCCACTCTGGATGGGAGGGTGCAAAGAGGTGTCTGCTAAAAGTAACTGGCATGCTCTTACCTCCAATCCCCTCACCCCAAGCCAGCCCCTTCCCATCCTGTGTTCACTCCCCCCGACTCCAGAAAGGTCACAGACTGTACTCCCTACTCCGAGAACTTCACTGTTGCTGTTCCCTCAGCCGCCTCAGCTTCTGAGGAGGTGCTGTTAGTCACCAAGCCTCCTGGCCTCTCATTGGCCAGCAACTTCACACAGGGTTTGACATCAATGTCCCAGGAAGTGATGTGCCAAAAATCCAATTGAGTGACCAATTAGGTGACTAATAGGCACAAGCTCAGGTGGGTTTCCCCAATTGTGGTGGGTGTTTGGATTGAAATACAATTGTATACAAATGTCTGCACCAGTCTGCTGTAGTCATGTGACCTTTTCCATACGGTACTCTCCTTGTAGGCAGACATCTTAAGCTTCACTTCAATAAAATCCTTGTGTTGAACACACTATTGTATTGTACACTCAAAACATAAGGTGTCTGACATGCTTTGACATCAATATCTAGAAAATGAACCAAAAAATTCCACTCTTTGTGCTTAGGCCTGAGGTATAAGGAAAGACTGGAGCATGTTGCGATTTTCGTGTTGCACTGGAGCTACCTCATACCAAATATGAGGCAATAAAGGAATGGTAAAGGTGAATTCAAAATATACCTTCAAATTATACCATGAAAATAAGTCCATGCACAGGCTCAACTCAGTAAAACATAACAAGCATTGACATCTATAAATTCTTCAATAGAGACAGAAACCTGGAATAACTTGAGGAGCAAATAAATGTTACAACTAGGAGAGTATGAGGTTGGTCTGAATGGATTAACTCAGTTGAAATAAATATAAGCGGCTTGTGAAGCAGCTCCAGTCTTGTCAACTTACAATCAGCAAAAACATGTTCCATGTGCAGAATGTGACATTGACTGATGAAGTGCAACCAAAATAAAAGCTATTGCTGAAATTATTGTGCCATGGGGTTGGAGGGACTGAGTCTATTTTTGGAGTAAGGGGAGAAAAAGGAGTAAGGGAAAGAGAGGATAAGTGGGAGAGAGAGGGAGGTCCAGAGTGACTGAAACTGAAAGAGGAAAGTCTTTTTGCAGATGGTGGAAAAGTGTCGTCTTTGTTTCCATGGAGAGAAGACGGCAATAATAATTATGAACATATTCTGGACATATTTTAAAATAGTGTCTGCCCTGTGCAATGTAACTTCAAAAAGAGTAGTTTTGCTTCCAAAGATTGCTTGTAGGGAAACCAGCCAGGGTTAAAACTATTCTAAACGTGCAAGACAAATGCAAAATGTGTAGGAACATGTTTATGGAATTTGTTATTAAATTGAATGTAGTTTTACTTTATGAAAAAGGCATTTTCTCCAGCTGAGGTTATTATTATTATTAAAGAGGTTTTACAAATGCTCAGAGAATCATTATGTAGTTAGGCAGAATCAACATGGGTTTCGCAAAAAATAAATTACGTTAGTCCAATTTATTAGTGTTCCTTGGGGAAGTAACAAGCAGTGTGAATAAAAGGGAACCCATGGATGTGGTGTAATTGCATTTTCAAACAGCCTTTAAAGAGATGCTACATCAAAAGATTACTACAGATGAGAAGAACATATTGTGTAAGGGAATATATTAGCATGGATCAAGGATTGGTTAGCTAACAGAAGGGAAAGAGTGGAGATAAACGGTTCTTTTTCAGATTGGCAAGCTGTAATTAGTGGTACCTCTCAAGGGTTAGCTATTTACAATCAATAATAATGACTTGTATGAAAAGACTAAATTTGTGGCAGCTAAATTTGCTAATGACATCAAGATAAGTTGGAAAGTAATTTTCTCTTATTCATTTATGGTACATGGGTCAGCATTTATTACCCGTCCCAAGTTGACCTTGAGAAGGAGGTAGTGAGCTGCCCCCTTGAACCGCTGCAGTCCTCCTGCTGTCGGTTGACCCACAATGCCAATGGGAGGGAATTCCAGGATTTTTATCCAGTGACAGTGAAAGAACAGTGATATATTTCCAAGTCTGAATGCTGAGTGGCTTGGAGGGGAACTTGAAAATGGTGTTGCTCCCATGTATCTGCTACCCTTGTACTTCCAGATGGAAGTGACCGTGGATTTGGAAGGATTTGGATTTGGCTGTCTGAGGATCTTTGGTGAATTTCTGCAGTGCATCTTGTAGATAGTACACACTGCTGCTACTGAGTGCAAGTTTGTGGATGCGGTGCCAATCAAGTGGACTGCTTTGAAATGGATGGTGTCAAGCTTCTTCAGTGTTGTTGGGGCTGCACTCATCCAGGCAAATGGATGTCTTCTAAGTCACCAAGACTTAGAGCACCTGCAAAGGTATGTAGACAGGTTAAGTGAGTGGGCAGGAACTTGGTAAATAGAGTATAATGTGGGATCATGTACTTGTCCACTTTGGTAGGAAGAATAGAAAAGCAATATGTTATTTAAATGGAGAGAGATTGTAGAACTCTATAGTGCAGAGGTATCTGGATGTTCTGGTACATGATGTTAGCCTGCAGGTGCAGCAAGTGATAAGGAAGGCAAATAGAACATTATTGTTTATTGCAAGGGAGAATGCAATATAAAAGTAGGGAAATTTTGATGCAGCTGTACAAAACCTTAGCGAGACTACTTCGGGTGTATTGTGTACAGTTCTGGACTTTATTTGAAAAAGGATATAATTGTGTTAAAAACAGTTCAGACAAGTTTCAGTAGCTTCATTCCTGGAATGACGGGTTATCGTATAAAGAAAGGTAGAACTGATCGATCCTATACCCCATGGAGTTTAAGAATGAGAGTTGATCTTATTAAAACATACAGTTTAACCTTAAGAATAAGGAATTTTACAATGGAGGTAAGGAGAAATGATTTCTCTCACAGGGTTATTAGTTTACGGAATTCTCGTCCCTATAGGGCAGAAGATGCAGGGTCTTTGAGTTTACTGAAGGCAGTGTTGAACAGACATTAGATAGACAATGGAGTCTAGGTTATGGGGCCAGACAGGAATGTGGAAATGAGACCACAGCCAGATCAGCCGTGATTTTAATCACATGCTACAGATGCATGAAGGGATTTGTTTTTATTCCCGAACATGATATATGGGTGTTACTGACTGGCCAGCATTTATTGCCCATCTCAAACCACCCTAGGGAAGGTGGTGGGGCACTGCTGTTTTGAACCACTGCAGACCATGTGCTGTAGGTGGATTCACAATGGTGTTTGGGAGGGAATTCCAGGGTTTTGACACAGCCCATATCAGGGAGCTCAAAGTTATTGGGTGGGATCTTCCCAATCCCTGAATGATGTAGGCATTGGTGAGAAAGTTGGGAGGATCACATGAGATGGCCAATGAGGAGTTTCTTGACGTCAAGAGCAAAAATATTTCAGCCAACAAATTAAACAGTGAGACAAGATTCTTGCTGGGGAGCAGTGAGAGATCTCTTTACATGCATTAACATCTTATTATAAGGTCATCTCTTCTCTGGATGGAGACAATTCCCGACATGAAAGTCCGAGCAGATTCTGGTGACTCAAGTTCACCTCTTGCTCTTCCAGACTTCCATCAATCTCCAACATCTCAGGGCACACTCCATGGGCAATAACCGCGCACACCTCACTGCCCACAAAGAACCCCAGGTACCTGTCGGCAGAGTGAGTGCCAATTACCATTTGCCCAACATGTCTGGGGTAATTGACAGGAACCTTGTGGGGCAGTTGTAGATTGCCAGCACTTGACCGGGTGTCTGGCTGGACTTTAAAGATGGTGCCAGGAATCCCTGGAGGTCTCGGCAGTGGACAATATTTCCACCTGTGGCAAATGGGAGAATATGATGAGCCACTGGCGCACGGTGCGTGAGAAATGAGAAGATTTTTCGAAGACAGCATGAGATAACTCACTTCTGGTCATTGAGCGAATCCTGCCATGCAGCCCATTGTCTTTTATTCTTCCCACAAGAATTGTCCTCTCTATGCCATTCCATCCATATTACTCGCCACGGCTCCATCACTCTATTCACATCCTTCATGCTCCATTTGACACTAAGATGAGCTCCCAACAGCACATCTGGGACAAAATTATTACCAGTGCAGGTTAGTTAAGGAACTAGCATGGATTTCTTAAGAGAAAATCATGTTGAACTAACGTAATGTAGCTTTTTGATGAGGTAACAGGGGGTAGGTTGATCAGAGAAGTGCTGTTGATGTACTCTGCATGGATTCCCAGAAGGCATTTGATACAGTGGTGCATAACAGACCTGTGGGCAAAGATCGACCTCATAGTGGTTGTAACAAGGTTGGCCAGGTGGACCAAATAGAATATGAGTTCCCTGATTGGGGCTTTAACTGGTCCAGTCAGGGAGCCCTGGCTGACAGATATAAACAGGAGTGTCAGGGGTTCTGAGATAACAAGGTGTAGAGCTGGATGAACACAGCATCTGTTCACTGTGAGAGTTGGCTCTGAGGGAATGGGATCAGTGTCCACGTGTAAGTAAAGGGTGACTTGGTGATGGGATATCAGCCTCTGTGGAGTTACTTCATACCTCATGGAAGAAATGACAACTTGAATATAGAATTGGCTGTGTGGCAGGAAACAGAGTGTAATATTCAATGGAATTTTTTGAGAAGGTTTGTGGTGAAGTTTCTTGGATAATGAGCAGTTTTGACAATGCATTGAGAACAGTAGTTTGCATCATGGGTGACTTTGCTTTTGTTTCTCTGATTTCTGCCTTTTTTTACAATTCTTAGATGGTGCTAGAGAGTGGCGACACTTAGCAGTTTGCACTGTATTCCTGTACTCAAGTACATGTGAGGATAAAATCTAATCTAATCTAATTTGGGTAATTCGGTGTAAGTGATAGTGCCTGCAAATATGTGTTTTTGTTCTTCTATATGAAGTAGGGATGTTTGAAAGGAAATTGTACAAGTGTGCTTCACTGTTTGTTCTGCTACACGGAGACATTTATCTTACAACCGGTTCTAATAAGGCAGGGTACAACCCATTTTGTCTCCTCTGAACTTGTCGAAGATGTTTGCCTAATGGAAAGAGTCACTCCCTGAACCGAAATTATTCAAACTGAACTGCAAATGTTCTGAGTGGCAATTAGAATCAGAGTCGAGAAGCTGTACAGCATGAAAACAGACCCTTCGGTCCAATTCATCCATGCCGACCAGATATCCTAAATAAATCTAGTCCCATTTGCCAGCATTTGGCCCATATCCCTCTAACCCTTCCTATTCATATACTCATCCAGATGCCTTTTAGATTTTGTAATTGTACCAGCCTCCACCATTTCCTCTGGCAGCTCATTCCGTATATACACCACCCTCTGCATGGAAAATCCAAGGTCTCTTTGTCCAGTAACACTCCCCAGGGCCTTACCATTAAGTATGTAAGTCCTGACCTGATTTACCTTTATATAATGCAGCACCTCACATTTATCTAAATTAAACTCCACCTGCCACTCCTTGGTCCGTTGGCCCAGCTGATCAAGATCCCATTGTACTTTGAGGTAACCTTCTTCGCTGTCCACTACATCTCCAATTTTATGTTATCTGCAAACTTTCTAACCATACGTCTTATATTCACATCTAAATCATTTATATAAATGACAAAAAACAGTGGACCTTGATTTTATTTTTTGTGGGGCTGAAGGAATGCTAACAAAGGCAAATTTATTAGAAAGTTTCCTTAATAAGATTTCAACTATATTTCTATTTCAAATCGATTCTGGGGTAAAATGGTAGAGGTGACAAATGGACTCAAACAGCACAGGTGGATCTTTATTGGTGATGGGATACCAGCCTCTGTGGAGTTATTTCATATCTCATGGAAGAAATTACAACTTGAATATAGAATTGGCTGTGTGGCAGAATAGATGGATATTTATTTCAGAATAGGTGGACCTTTATTTCAATCGGATCAAATGTAACATGTGTTACTCACTCACTATCACCCTGCTACAGTGTTGAGCAAGGGCAAAATCAAGCATTTTATTTTTGTAGAGGACATGCATAGACTTTGCCCAAGCAGCAACGCACAGACATTTGTTAGGTAAGAATTTTCAGCCAAAATGTGAATGTTTGAAGTCTGGCACTTCCTTCTCCCCAGCTGTCAGTGTTTCAGAGCTGATATATTGAACATATCAATTTAGAAGCGTGGGCCTGCTTCCTGCTGTTTGGGGCCAGATATGCTGTCAATATCCTCCTCCTGCTGGGCACACAATACTAAAACTCAGTTATACTTGAGGATGTTAAAAAAAGTTAAGATTTATTTATGGTTGACATAGCTGAGATACGATTTAACAGAGGTAAGGTGTGTTTCAGATTGACCTTCACTTTAATTTCAGTGAGCATTTATTACTAATGTCAATGAAATTTCCATCAATCCACGCTAGATTGATGTCACACAGAATGGAAGTGCAATTTCTGCTCCACATTCATGTTTTATTTGCCACATTTTGTGTACCTCTGGGATACCGCAAAATTGCATTTTATGAAAGGAAGCATGGGGAAGAAAAGCAGGACCAGACAGGGAGAAGAGAGTGAATTCAGTTTACTCTATTTAGAAGCAAATCCTTTTCCCAGAAGTTTTCTCTTGGTGCTTCACAACTCAAATCATTGAGAGTTTGACCTGGAATGCTACACAACTGTTTTAATTTCTGACTGTGTTCATCAGAAGCTGCTAACTCAGGATTTGGAATACAGAACCATTGTCTATTCTGAAAGCGTTATGGTTGAAGATTACATTAAACCATGCACAATCTGAAGATGTCATACAGTCTTATATGGGGAAGAAGAAATCTAGCTCAGATTCTGATGTAGACAGATATGCCATCATTGGCTCCTGATAGTTTTACTTATTATGGGTTACTAACCAATGTAACCTGTACCTATTGCTACTGTACTATAAACTACGTTGTGTAAAGACAAGTGTCCTTTCTAGTTAGTACTTACTAGCAGTTCATCGTCCACCACAGTTAACCAAACAGGCTCTCAGACTCAGCACAGAGAGGAGGATTGCTGGCAGCTCATGACCCCAATCAATAGCTGGAAGTGCTTGCTTCTGCAACATGTACAACATGGTGATCAGCCATTAGATTGCATTTGTTTCAATGCCCAACTACATAGTGACAGCAGTGGGCATCACTGCTTCAGTATCACTAAATAACAATTGTGGAAAACATCCATTGGAACCAAGAGAAGAACAATTTGGAAAAAAAGTGTGTTTACCACTTTAAAGACCTTACCACGTTAAGGATATTCAGATGGTCAGTCAGCAGCCGAAAGGATTTGAACTAACAAGTAAGCAGCAGAGTTCATAAAAAACCCCTATGTAGAGTTACAGCATAGTTATTTTACAAAGTTTAAAGGTTTATTAGAAGAAAACAATACAGTACTTTTACAATACAGAGTTTAGAGATCTATAAGAAGAGAAATAACAGCGTATTGCTACATTGAACTCTTTAAAACCTTGTAAAATGAACCAAGTAAATGAGCATTACTATGCAACAGAACTAAAAATTTGCTTGGCAGAGATTTCAGCATTCAGGGTATTATTAAATTATTATTAAATTTTTACCAAGGTCTTAGCATTAGGAACATTGTGGAGCAGATTAGGTGCAACAGAAGAGCAATTTAAAAACTTGTGACAATGTCTAACAGAGAGGATGTTTGGAAGTCATCTAAGATTTTAAACACTATGGTTCAGCTTGTAAGAGGCAGAAAGCATCTATATTTCTCACAATCTCTATTTTCTCTGCAGGAGGTGTAAAACCATCATTTTAATTGCAAAATTAAACAGAAAAACCCCTATGTAGAGTTACAGCATAGTTATTTTACAAAGTTTAAAGGTTTATTAGAAGAAAACAATACAGTATTTTTATAATACAGAGTTTAAAGATTTATAAGAAGAGAAATAACAGCGTATTGCTACATTGAACTCTTTAAAACCTTGTAAAATGAACCAAGTAAATCAGCATTACAATGCAACAGAACTAAAAATTTGCTTGGCAGAGATTTCAGCATTCAGGGTATTATTAAATTATTATATTGTCAATTTTTACAGATTAATGGAAAACTGTAACCAGGGAGCATTGGAAACAGAATTCATAAGGGGATAGAATTATTGTTGGAAATATTGATGAGTCTTTACCAGATTTATTATAGTGTAAGGAAGATGTGACTTTGGAAAAAGCTATTCAGATTGTGCTGGAAGCAGAAACCAGGAAGATTTGTAGAGAGATTGTTATGGACTAGACCAAATCCCCTTCAAATATATGAAGGAGATAGCCTAGACTCTAACTTTTATCTTATTTAAAGGCAAGTGCAAGGTGCTGTGTTCCAGATATAATTTGATTGTTCAAGCTACTCGGCTTTAAGCAAAACACGCTTTATTCTTATACCTAGTTGAAATACACACAAAAGAAAGCAGAATTGATATAACTTTAACTCTGTTGGAAAGCTTAACAGAATAATAGATTATTTAACTACTAAACAGCAACTGTTCCAATATTGCAATATCCCATTAACACACCCTTGGCAAAAGCAAATTGAGTAAAATAGATCGTCTCACATGCGATGTTTCTCCAGTCCAGGAGAAAAGAGCACCAAGAGAAAATTCTGGCAAAGAGAGAGAACTCAAGCTTTTTACTGTAGCCAAGAGAGATGTATAA